TTCCGCGACCCCGCGAGTTCCAATGCGCCTATGCTTGAGCTCCATTTTGCACTCGCGACCCCGCGAGATTTTTAGCCAGCTCGAGAGTATTTTAGTAAATGTGCGTGTTTTTAGTGTGTGTTCGTGGTGTAGCTATATATAGACATCTTGCTTTGTATTTTTGGAAAACAACTCTCATTTTCCAACTTTTAAGTTGGGAAAATCCTCTCTATTTCTTTTTTCTTTTTTTTTTTATTTTGGTTTGGAGCTTTATGAATCAAGTTTTCCGGCGAACTTCCAGCGACATTGTTTTGAGCAAAGTTTCAAGTTTTTGATTCCGTTTCTTCTCCCGAGTGCATGTTGGAGTGGGTAACTTAGTCTTAAGCCCCATTACCTCGTATATCTTTATTGCTTTGGTAAATTGATATTGTGCTTGAGATTTTGGAAAAAAAAAATTGTTGCTTTGGATCATGAATGTTTGACTAAGTGTGGTAGAAGTTGAATTCTTGCTCGATTCATGCTAGAGTTTGATTTGACTTCCTAGGGTTTTTAGCGAACATGGCAATGGTTGGATTTTTGCATGCTTTTGATCATGATGACTCCGGTGAACCAAAATCCCTCTTTCCCCCTTGATCTCTCTAATCTTCTTGCGTGCTTTACTTGCTTTCGGTTTCAATTTCGTAGATTAGCTTAGCTTAAATCAACCCTTAATTCAAGCGATTAGCATGTTTAGGATGTTTTCGTTTGTGTGACTTTGACGACTAGGTAGTAACCGAAGCTCCGAATAGCCTTCCTTTGAGAACGACCCGAGGCCGGGTAACTCGGTTACCAATACCCAAAAATTCTATAAACAACAGTGATGAGAGTTTCACCACCCTTGCCTTTGTTCTTCTGCTGAGAACTATTCTTCGACTGAGAATTTCTCTTGCCTTGCTCCTCGAGCCATTTATAGCAATTCTTCTTCATATGACCTTCTAGACCACAATGATAGCACACATGTGATCTCTGATCATCTGATCATCTCTGACCACATGGGATCCTTCACGGCGCGGAGGCCGGCGTGGCACGGCAGAAGTGGCCTAAGAGCTGCTGCTACTTGTTGGCATCTCATCTGCGTTCTAGCTCGTCTGACTTGGAATTCATTCTGCTTTTTTCGGTGCGACGCCAACGCATTCTTCTACCAATTTAAGCTTCTCAAAATAATTGCCAACTTTAAATTGTAATCGACCGATGCACCCTACCTTAGGGTTGTAAACTTATCGAATCAAAGCGAATACTCAGAGATTCGATTCAGATTTGTTAAGATATTCGAAGATTCGAATTCGTATTCGATTTGTTAACGAACTCATTTTTTGATTCGTATTCGATTCGTTTAGAATATTCGAACATATTCGATTCGATTCGAAATTCGTTTTCAAAAAAAATTATATTAAAAAATATTATAATTATAAAAAATAATTATTATTTTGCATATATTTTTAGAAAAAAATGTTAATTTAGGATGTTTTTAAATTTTATGTCCTAAAAGTATTAAGAATATAACAATATATTCTTATATATAAACAAAATGTATACTATATATAATTTGTAAAAATTTTATAATTATTTTTAACGAATCGAATATTCGAATTTTGAATCGAATATCTACAAATTCGAATTCGGATTCGTTTAACTTTCGAATATAAAAATTATTCGTATTCGAATTCGAATTCGAATATTTCGAATTCGAATCACGAATATCGAATTCGAATCTCGAATCGAATCAGAAAAAGTTTGATTTGTTTACAACCCTACCCTACCCTCACACCATAAAGTGAGAAAATGCAGAATACCGGAAAAATACACAAGAAGCAAATAGAAAACCAAAATCAAGGAAAACATGCAAAAAACTATAAAACGACCTAAAAACTTACGAAAAGACCACATATGGGAAAAAGAAAGGACAAAAAGACAATGAAAAAATGCAACAAAAATGGGACAAACACTTCTACCCCTGCTCTTCCCTCTATCGCTTCTTTGTTGCTTGCCTTGTGGTCTTCATCGATTCTCCATCATAAGGGCATGGGTCTGATCTATGCCCATGTCTTTCCTTCTTGCCTCTTCATTGAATAAGGCATCCTTCACAACGAACATGGAAAGTTTGTCGTTTGAGGATGAATTGTTGAGAGTAACAACGAGTGTTTCCTAGCTATCAAGAAGGGAACTAAGAAGTAGCAGAGATTGCATTTCATCTCCAAGCGGCATATCCACACAAGACAGCTGATTTACCAAGCTCTGGAACTCACTGGTATGCTCGGCAACAGAAGTTCCACTTTTCAACTTCATATTGACTAAGCGCCTCATAAATAAGGCCTTATTCCGAGCGGTCTTGGCCTGGTACATGTCCTCTAGCTTCTTCCAAAGGTCATATGCGTCAGTTTCTTGTGCAACATGATGGAAGACACTATGATCAATCCATTGTCGGATTTGACCAATAGTTTTTCTATTGATTTTCTTCCATTCTAACGTCTTGGACGGATCAGGGTTAATACCCTTCAGCTCTATTGGGTCAAAGAGCTCTTTACAACTGAGGAAATCTTCCATCCGAGGTTTCCACAGCGTATAATTGGTAGCCGTGAGCATAATCATAACTCCATAAGATGAAGTTGACTCTTCCATGGCTATTTTACACCTTCAATGATCTGTTTGGGACAAATCGGAGCTGAATTTTGAAAAATAGACAGCACCGTTGCGTCCGGAACAGTCGAAAATGAGGGGGAGGTTTTTTTTTATTAATATGACGTGGCAGTCAACCGATGACGTGGCGTTGACTTGCTGATGTGGCAGATGACTGGAGTACTGACTTGGTGGCTGACTGGGCTGCTGACGTGGCAGTTGATTGTGCTGCTGACTGGGGCTTCCTTGCTGACGTGTCAGATGATGTGGCGACACGTCATCATTTTCTTCCTCAAGATTTTTTTTTTCAGAACTTTAGAAGGCTTTTCGGGGCAGCTCCGGTGTCCCTTTTTCGCCCGTAAGATATCACCGTGACCGTCTCGACGAGACGAATCCAACGTTGTCCTCGAAATTGAGTTTCGAGCACAACTCAGAAACTCGAAATTTCTATATAAGCTCGGAAAAATTCAAAATTAAGCTCGAAAACTTCAAACCAAGCTCTGATACCACTTGTTGTGGTATCATCCCAAGATCATAAATATAATTGTGAGAAAAACAAGTTTCTATTACTCACAAGAATAAAAACAAGAGATTTACAACCCCTAAACAAAAAACTCTCAAACACTCCACAATTCTTTCTTAGTTGTATTTCAACACTCTCAAGGTTGATTGATCACACTCTTAGACGATTTGATTGAATGAAATGAGAAGCCAATTTATAGATACAATCAAGGACACGATTGTTGACAAATGTATGTGAATGGGGAAGGTGGTGGATGGATCACCATGGAGGACTTCTCCATTGGTGTGCCATTGAACCTTCTTCACTTGTGTGCTAATGGTAGTTGGGAGACTTGTACATTTTTTACTTCTTCGAGCAATTTTTTTTTTTTTTTGGTTAATTATCTTTGTTATAAATTATTTATGTTAGCTACAAAAAAAAATAAAAAATAAAAAAATTATTTATGTTAGGAGGTTTTTATTTTTCTTCTCGTGTTGTAGTGTCCTTTAATTTTGAATTTGGTATCAAGTGGAGGTATACAATTTTTTTTTTTTTTTTTTTTTTT